TCAGTTGCCAATGTATCAGCTACTCTGCTTGGTGATGTTGATGAAGTTCAGATTAGGAATTTAGATGGCTTCTAAGTGCTTGCTTCCAATCCAAGAAAGACAACAGGAATGCTGCAACCCCTCCCTCTCACCTGTGGGCTGAAATAACTCTTGTGCTTATTGTTGTATATTATATAGATTTTGCCCTCAAGGAAGGTTGCTTTATCATAATCTGTTGGGCTTTAGTCCCCGGTAAGGGGACTTTCAGGGAGGAAACTGGAAGCGGCGCGTCGACGGGCGGACTCGCGGCGAGCTCCGTGCCGCCCGTCCCGTTTTTGCCTTCGTTTGAGCCCCCCGTTTATCGGGGGAGCTCGACCAGCCCTCTTGGGGGGAGGGCTGGAGCAGGGGGCGCTTTCTGGCCCCTCCCGCATTCGGCAAGCGGGGGGGTGACCGGGACAGCCCCGAAGCCGGGCAGAGAATCGGGAGAGAACATGGCTGCCGTGTTCGAGAAGACGCTGCCAACCGGATTTTTAAACGGTGCTTGAAAGTTACGGGAAGCAACACAGAAGGCTAAAGATGAAGTGTAAATGGAGAGTCTAAGGAGAAATGAAGTCCCCCAAAAGAAACGGAGTCCATAAAGGTGAAGTAAAACGGCCGGGATTTGTACGGGACTAAATTGCAAGTTGAAAAAATGGTGGGGAAGAAAATGATTTGAAGAGCATTGAGATGGCGGACAGAATGAAAGACTTTGAGACGGTTGGCTTTTTGCACGCTCAAAAGAATTGGCCCAAAGGGGAATGTTCAGTGAGAGACGAGGACTGTGAGGAAGATATGGAGAATGAGGAGGTGGATTGGGAGCAGTTCTTCAGAATGATGAAAGAGGCTGTGATAAAAGGCTTCGAAGAAGGTTGCAAAGATATAAGGAAAAAATATAATATACAACCAGAAATAGAGGGAGAAGGAAAGCAGGAACAATGGGCAGGGAAAAAGGACCTAGAGGAACCAGAGGAGGAAGAAGTAGAGGATAAAGATATTGACAAGGAAGACAAGTTGGGAGACTGTGTAAAAGCAGAAGGCTTGAAAAGGGATATACTAGACTCTGGGGAGCATCAGCGTGATGGCAAGGTGGGACGCCCAAAAGAAGATAGTCAAGGTTTAAAAGCTGCACGAAAGAAGGAAAGAAATAAGATCAGAAGAGGTAGAAAGGTGTGTAAGTTTAAAAAAGACAATATACCCTGGAAAGCAGAAGGACAGAAGGACAGAGAGAGGAGATATGGAAGGCAAAGCACGTTGAAAGAGCGCCGACATAAAGACATGCTGATGTTGAAAAATAAGCTTCAAATGCTCAAAAAGAAAAATAAGTTATATGAAGC